TCTACATCATGATATTATCAACACGCGTACTACCACCGTCATGATGTATGCTGCGACAACCGTTGTATCTCGTTCTACATTCTGCGTCTCGCATTCGTACGTGATAACGTCATTCCTCTTTTCGTCTGCAATGTCAGCGTGTTCGTTCAGCAAGATTTGATGCGTTCATTGCAGTTCTCGACAAAGACATCAATATTGGTAGTGTTGCAGCATGCAGTGCCTTAGTATCGTAAACCCTGTGAAATACTGGTGCTCTTGCACGACTCAACCCGTCGCGAATGACGATTAAAGCCCTCATACATAGCGCATGCACGTACTGCAACACAAGAAAAGCAGGGTAAGTCAAGGGTAAGTCTTCTTTTAAGTCGACTATTTGGACAAACTAATCCATACATCATCTAATTGGTATGCTGCCATCCAGCGCTTGCATCACCGAAGCAATACTGAATATTGAGGTATGATATCCGACTGGCTGAAGTAAGTATTTCAACATGAATTCAAGTAGAAAGGGAAATTCGTCCAGGGGCCTTGCCTTGATTGGATCAGCCTGAAGCGAATCTTCTAAGCCAAGTCTGTGGAAGGTAGTATTGCCGCAAGTCGACGCGGTGTGATGCGGTGCTAGCAAACTCGAACAAGTAAACGATTCGAGTTGTATCGAGTTACACACCAGTGCAACTAGCGAGTTCGGATGTTGTTCGGGAATTAAGTCCACCAATTAACGAGCTCAGATCTATCTCTTTCTGGTTTAGCAAGTCAAATTTATTGGCGCATAAATGGCTATATTTGGCAGAAACAGAATTGAATTATATATTTCTACAGTCTCCAACATAGTCAGCTTCTGTTGCAATCCAATCCGCTGTGAAATCCAGCTGTTCTCCTTTGTAAATGTATTTGAGCCAGTGTTTCTACCGCCAGTGGCCAGCCACTGACTAGCCACGAAAATTGGTTAGGCTTAGCCATTGGCGGTACAGCGGCGGTTGGCTTTCCCAGGCCTTACTAAGCTGGAAGAATGCGGTATCATTGGCTGTAGATAAACACTAGATTGTACTACTCATCATGTTGTCGAATGTTTGCTCGTCGTCTTCACCTTCCGCATCCATGTCAACTAACTCGTAGAACTCGAATTTATCATCAATTGATCTCATCCCGAATGCTTCTGTCATTTTTACCCAGCTCTCGTCTTCGAAGTTGAAAAGTTGTTGAAGGGGGATATCATTGAATCCAAACCCCACATCTATGGTGTCCTCGTCTTCTAATGAGCGCTGTGCGAGAACGGATGCAATGTGCCCAAGTGAGTGGTCGTCATCACTGTTGTCTCCGTCTTGAGTTTCCAGCTGCTCAGACTCTGATGATAGATCATCAGGAACAGAATCCGAGCCTGCAGGAGTTATAGTCACAGTAGCTGGTGGAGGTAGTGGGTCGGGGATGATTTTCCTTATGTGACGTAGACGGCCCTTTTTGTCCCCCATCTGCATATACTCATCTCACAAATGCAAGCGCAATTCTGCCAAGTCTGTGAGGCCTTTGAGACTGAGACATGAACAAAGTTTTGTGAGTACTGTGCCGAAAAGACTGAAAAGTCGTTCACAAGAAGCTGAGTTTGCGCAAATTGACTCCTCGTGATCCTTCTGCTGCTCATCAATCATCTTTGTAATCTTGCACGCTCCACACATCACTTTCGGTCATCTCTCTTTCTCATTTGCATAGGCCGCAGGGAGTTTCTTCTCGAAATTGGGGTGGGTATCAAAATGTCCCCACCACCAGTCTTTGGGCTTTTTGTTGCTCATTCTCAAAGCTGGGAGTTGGTGTGACACGACTTGATGACTTGACATTGCATGGAGGTGGTATCGCACATCGGTATTACATTGATATTTGCGATAAGACTGATCTACAGCAGATGGGAGCTACCTTCTATTTCAGGTATTCCGCCATCGCCAAAACACTGCCACTGGCTGTAGCCTGGGGCTAGCCCATGGGCTTCACACGGCTTACTGTTGGCTCGCCACTGGCGGTAGGAACACTGATTTGAGCACCTGTAACTTGCTGAGAAGATCTGGGAGGATTCAGCTACACTAAAGGGTGCACATTTTCCCACTTGATGAGAAGGCTTGCTCACACGGCACGGAGGAAGCCTGTATGGGTAAGATGTCGAGGGTGGCTTTGTATGAGAGTGCTCTGAGTGGATATACTTGTTCCACATCCTAATCACAATTAGCGCCATGTGTGAAAACAATGAGTGTGAGACTTATGGGCATGTACATGGTAGTAAAGAACTCATGTGTAAAAAAGTACAAATTTTTTGATTTTATATGGACTGACAAAGTAAGTAGGGCAGATCTCATATTAATGGGGTATAATGGCGAGGTGCAAAGCACTGGAGAAGTGCTCAAGATTGCATGAAATACTTGAGCTACAGTCAGCAAGATTATAGAGACTTACAGTAACATTGACAAGATACCAGGGAAGCTTATGGGAAAGTCTTCTTGATATGTCAATCACCAACTTGCAGTGCAACTTGATGTCTACACCGCATGGGGCAGTTGCCACGAGTTGCATAAATTTCCGAGTTGAGTCGATGTTAACTCCATTCCAACTCACACCGGTGGCAACACTAGTGGAAGGTGATGTGTATGAGGAGGTGTGTGGGAGGGTGGCGCAGGTTGAATGGGAGATATGGAAGGTATTCAGGAGGTATTATAGAAGGGACAAGGTATTAATAGATGGTGGAAGGAGACTACGGTCTGATGAAAACTCAATGAATTGGAGGCATGCAAGAAGAACACAAGATGCACGCCAGTAGGATGGACACAGAGGACAAGCACTTTAAATGTGGTGCACTCTAGGGCCTGTACACAGATTCAGACACTCATATGTCGAGGTCTTAGAATGTTTTGAGCAAACACCCTAGAATTTGCCACAGTATCACATCAATTTTACCTGGCCCTGGCATCAATGAAGTCAGTGACTATCAACAAACACTCTTCCAAGTCCCTCTTTCCTGTCAACCATCCTTTGTACCCCATCCAACAATTGCTCAATGAAGAGATCTACTGATTCTACTCTTGAGCTCCCAAGCTACCTTTTTGGTGTCAAGTACCGCGCAGGCAGTAATATATTTAATCTCCTTGATCTTTATTTTTATCACCTCTTTTTTGCTTTCATGATAACACCAACAGCAATGGTCAGTTGTTTCGACAGCCTCTCAAACTCAAGCTTAGTAGACTACGAGCAAGACTGGGTGCGGTCGATCATTTTCAGATACATTCAAACATCCACAATGCTTGAGCAGTATGAAAATTTCTCCAAGAGGAACTGTACTGATTGGCTCCAAACTAGGTATTGCACCATCAACCATAATACCAAAGGAAAAGCAGAGACATAACTCACTGTCGCGACATGCCCATCTATTGGCTCAATTCTCATTTGGCTGATATTGGCAGATTTTGGCTGTTTCCAAATTCTAAGGTGCGCAGGTGAGTCACATGGTTGAATACTGGTCGCACAATGACCTGCTCATACTCACATCACGATAGACACAACTATAGCCATCAAGCCCCTTCAGTGACAAATTCCGTATTATACGGGCCACCTGACCTCCATAATATCCCGTATGAGACGGGCCAGCTGATCATGGGCCCATGTTGTGTATATTCTCGATGATGACAGATGGGCCGGGACACATATTATTTCCGATCGAGACGGGTGGGCCCATGTATGCCAATGATATATATATGCTTAATGTTGACGGATGGGCTGGGGGAATATGATCATTCATGGAGATGGGTGGGCCCATCTGGGTGATATGTAGAGTAGGATATTATAGACAGCTGGGCTGAAGAGAGATGTAAGGCAAATATTGTTATATAGACGGGTGGGCCGAGGTAGGGGAATATTACATAGATGGGTGGGCTGACGTAGGGTGTATTACATATAAAGGTGGGCCGACGTGGAATGTATTACATATACGGGTGGGCCGACAAAAGGGATATCAAATAGACCGGTGGGCTGAGGGTGCGATAAAATATTTATTACATAGACAGGTGGGCCGAGGTGGGGTATAATTATATAGACAGGTGGGCCGACATAGGATGTATTATATAGATGGGTGGGCCAACATGGGATGTATTACATAGACGGGTGGGCCGACGCGGGGGATAATACATAGACGGGCGGGCCGACAGGGGTGTATTACATATATGGGTGAGCCTAGATATGTTCCATCAAGACATACAGCTGATGTAGCCACCAGCGAATCAAACACGTAGGATACATGTACACTATGAGTGCATATACCTACCATCGACCACCAAATCTAAACCCCTAAGCACAAAAACATAAATCGACCATGTGTGGCATTGACCAATAATCCAGGACTGAAGTGGAAAAACCCCACACCTGAACCCTGGTGTGCAGCAAATCCTATTTCTAAGCATGGACACCAGAAGCACAACACTCACAAAAATATATATGTCAAATTTTCAGTGCCAAACCCCAAACCGAGATGTACCAACCCCCGAACCCCAAAACCCACATTGACTTACCCATGTTTGCAATATATTTTTGTTTAGACATACCAAGTTCCGAATTCCGGACACCCGAACCCCGAAACCTGAGACTGCCGGGTCTCGGGTATCGGGTGTTTGGAACTCGGAACTTGAGAAAATTTGGGGAGATCAATACCATTTAATTTACAATCAAGTTTATTGACAAACACATTGACTTACCTATGTTTGCAATATATTTTTGTTTAGACATACCGAGTTCTGAGTTCCGGACACCCGAACCCCGAAACCCGAGACTGCCGGGTCTCGGGTTTCGGGTGTCCGGAACTTGGAACTCGGTATGTCTAAACAAAAATATATTGCAAACATGGGTAAGTCAATGTGTTTTCAATCAACTCGATTATAAATTAAATGGTATTGATCTCCCCAAATGTTCTCAAGTTCTGAGTTCCGGACACCCGATACCTGAGACCCGGCAGTCTCGGGTTTCAGGGTTCGGGTGTCCGGAATTCAGAACTTAGGAAACTGGGGAGATCAATACCATTTAATTTACAATCGAGTTGATTGACAACACATCGACTTACCCATGTTTGCAATATATTTTTGTTTAGACATACTGAGTTCCGAGTTCCGGACACCCAAAACCCAAAACCCGAGACTGCCGGGACTCGGGACTTGGGTGTCCGGAACTTGGCACTCGGGGAAATTTGGGGAGATCAATACAATTTAATTTACAATCGAGTTGACAACACATTGACTTACCCATGTTTGCAATATATTTTTGTTTAGACATACTGAGTTCTGAGTTCCAGACACCCGAACCCCAAAACCCGAGACTGCTGGGTTTCGGGTTTCGGGTGTCCGGAACTCGGAACTCAGTATGTCTAAACAAAAATATATTGCAAACATGGGTAAGTCAATGTGTTGTCAACTCGATTGTAAATTAAATTGTATTGATCTCCCCAAATGTCCCCGAGTGCCGAGTTCCGGACACCCAAGTCCCGAGTCCCGAGTCCCAGCAGTCTCGGGTTTGGGGTTTCGGGGGTTGGTACATCTCGGTTTGGGGTTTGGGGGTTAGTAAAATGTTTACAGATATACATAGGTTGATTTAAACATGTCTGGAAGATGTCATTCATCTCAAATGTCAAATCCTGAGTTCTGGGTGTCGGGACTCGGTACCCGGCACCCGGGACTCGGGGTTCGGCACTGATAATTTGACATTCGGGTGTTCGGGTTTCGGGTGATATCTATCTCAATCTGCAGTTTCGAGTTCTGGATATCGGGAGTGATCATTGAATGATTCAATTGTGGCATAGGTAACATGCATGGAAAAACATTTATGTACATCTATCACTGAGCAATTATGTAGCCATGTCAACCTCCTCACCAGGAAGATCAACCTTTCCCTCAACATCCATCTCATCATCAGAAGAATCATATTCTGGCAAGAGGTTACCTGGTTCATTAGGGACCACAATATCTCCGGGGAATTCTGGCACGAGGTTGCCTGGTTCATCAGGGAGAACAATTTCTCCGGAGGATTGTGGACCCTCAAGCTGAACTTGGGTGGGCTCAACCATGGGACCTACCATAGCAGATCCATGCTCAGGCGTCAAGGGTGTAGGTTCCATGCTGGAAAAGTCCAAATCAATGAGGTTGGAAAGTGCAGAGGGGAGGGGTGACATGGATGGAGGGGGACCTCCTTGATCAAGCAACATTGATCCATCGGCCGGTGTGTCCGGAAGTGAAAATGAAGGGTGCCGGTCGACCACTGTGCGCCGGAGGCTCTCATGGAGGCATTGCAGGGTATCAATCTTAGCGTTCTGCTCCTGCACCCGAGCCTCAAGAATAGCAATGCGAGCTGCACCATCCTGAATCGCGATTGCCATGGAATGGAGATCCGGCATGGGAACATGGAGTGCTGCACGAGGCACTGCGACACTGGAAGACCTGACTGCTAAGTAAAAAATTAGGTCAGCCGGTCATCAAAAGTATGGGTGACTTACCAGCTGGCGCAGGTGCAGGGACAGGTGCAGGGACAGGTGCAGGTGTCTTCTTGGTAGTGATGGTCTTGCTGCGACCACGTGACTGCACCTGGGGTGTAGTTGCAGCAGGGATGGCCGGAGTTCAGGGAA